GGGGGGGGGGGGGGGGGTTTGCACGTTGACTCCCAAGTGTTCAATAATGAGTCAAATTCATTTGCCAGCTCTTGCACTCAAGTAACATCAGTCGCTGCAGAGGACTGTTCAAACAACTCCCTACCTACCCACACCTATTCTCAAGCATGTGGCTGGTATGGCAATACATTACTGCACTGAAAAAATGCAATCTGTCAAGCTAATAGAGAGGTTTCTAACTGTCTGCTCTTATAAAAGCTTTTGGAACATACGCTCCACACAAACTAGTATTTGGGCTTCACCTGATCATGGGCTTTTACCATTTTAACCAGGCTTTTACACAAAGACCCTTCAGCAATAGCCTGAGGACACAGCAAGTAGTTCCAGCACTATGATCCTGCAGCTAACCTAAGCCTGGGTATCACTTTTAAAGGGCCAGCAGGACAACGCAGATACAAAACGCTGAACGCTAAGTGATACTGGAGAATACGAGCACCCAAGGAGTAGGGTCAGCGCAGTCTTTTGGGCCATTGCCCGAGATGGCCGAATTCCTCAAGCTGCCTCCCACCTCGTGGGTGGTTATGGGCAACTCACTTAGCCTTCCTGGCCTTCACCAGGAAGCGAGATGGTGTGAAGTAGGGAGAACGATGCCTCTTTAATTCAGAAGGATGTTAGAAGAGTAAATATAGTCAGGGTTGCCTTCTGCCCTTACATGAACAATTCAGCAAGTAAGTACTGAAACACACAGATCACTAACAAATTTCAAACCAATTTTATTTTCTTAAACGGGTGTTAATACAATTTAAAAGCCAAAAAAAACAAAACAAAATCACACAAAACACAAATAAACAGAACAAACAAAATGTTGACAAAGAATCAAGCATTACCTTATAAAGAATAACATCATACACTTTCTCACAAACCTGAAGATACGTGTTATTAGACTGAGGTTTCTTGAAATCTATTTAAGACACTACATACAAATGCTGCAACAGTAACAAATCCGTAACGATAGTGAGTGGACTATACTAGCAACTTCATTGTTGGTTTTCTTTTCTTTCTTTTTACTTAGGGTTTGTTTTTTTTTTTGCTTTTTTTTTTGCATTCCTTATTGTCTACAAAGCAATAAATACTTATTCCCACCAAAAAAAAGTTGGTTTCACGCTACATGCAGTTAGGTAAAAAATAAAAATCACCAAAGTGATGGCAAAAGAAATTATCTGTCAGGTTATTTCTTTTCATTTTTCTGTTTTTTTTTGTTGCTTTCTTTTTTCTTGTTTTCATCCTTTTTTTTCTTCTTCTCTCTTCTCTAAATCCAAGCCCAGTGGCTAAGTTTCAAGTATTGAGAAAATATATATTGGTTGAAGGTCTGTAAACCACAATTTTTTGGAGCAATATATATATTGCATGTGGACAATTTGATACATTCAAGTAATTACGTACAGCTGGAAGGTTAGCGCTGAGCCTGCCACGTACACAGATCATTAAACCTGCGACATAAACACGAATCTTGAGATGCAAGTGACTGATTCTTGGCAATAAGCTATTGTGTGTGGGGTGTCCATGGAGGCGACTAGTAGGCATCTATGATCTACTTCAGGTTTGTCCCGGCTTCCTGTTTCCATGCTGTATCCAGGTTTACACTTGCATCATGGCCCCTTGTGGAACTGGTGGTGCTCCTTTCCAAAGCAGTCTGCTTCTCCTTTCACCATCTCCAGCCGCAGGTTCGTTTTGATTTGAGTCGTACACAGCCACAGCAGAAGTGGGCTGTGCAGGAAATGATGCAGCAGCCAAAAAATGAAGCACTGGTGTAAGCTACCTACCGCAAGCTCCAACTCCCTGTGGGATTAGAGCATCTATGGACTGATCAGCATTTCCATTGCACCACCGGTAGCACCCTGCTATTGAAGAAGCCAGCCCACAAGTCAAGAGGGTTGTTCCTTGTAGCTTTGTTCCCCCCCCCAAAAAGAGTATTCACACAAAAAATGTGCAAAAAAAGTTACGGAGAGAGTAACAAGGATTCCTCCACTGCGTGTGCCAATTATGATCTTATTCCCACCCTCCAAATCTACGCACCCCAGATTCGTGCTTCATCCACTGAGACTCCTTTTCTGCCCAGCGCTAACAAAATACTGCCACAACTCTGATAAATTAAAAAGATATGCGCGCGCACACAACCCAATCGACAAGGCAACACCCAGGTATTTCCTCACATGCATCCAAGCCTCAAATGGGACTTCAACCACTCACACGCACAGCCTTGTTTTGGCTACACAGTCTCTTAAAAAGAATTGCCGAACATACAACAGAACACTAACAGAGCTCTTTATAAAAACGAAGCAGCAAATAAAAACTTAAAAAAAAAGAAGCATTTTCAGTTGTAAGTGTGTAAAGACCTCAATCTGTTCTTGAGCTCTTCAAAAGCCTGGAGCTTTATACTGACTGTCCTTAAGAGAACACTTAAATAAAAAATAATAAAAAAAAACCAACCACCACCACCAACCAACCTCAAAACGAAACTCTTGGTACTACAGGTTTCCAAGTCAGTTTTGCTTGGCACGGAGGAGAAACAGCACATGGACGCGGTGATGCTGTTTGCCTCCCATGCGCAAGATACAGTACAGTTAAATACATCCAATGACACACACAATATATATCAATATATATTCGCCCCTGGGAATACATATCAATATATACACACACACGTAGTGCAATAAAAACAACCAGGAAACGAGGAAAGGAATAAAAGAACAGCATTCCTAACAGTCGTGATGTTCCTGGATCATCGCATGATGCAAAGTCAACTTCTCAAAGTTTCCATAGTGTGTAAAGTGCTCCTTTGATTCACAAAGCTAGTGTTTCTCAGGGGAAGGGGATGGAAGGAAGGGCAGAGCGGAGGGTTGCTAACCCAACAACTAAACATAGCGCCTCCTTACATTAGATATGTACTGATGTGCCAAGCTGAACAGCCCAGAGTCCGAGCTATTGACCTCACTGGGGAGGAGGAAAGATTTTGGCTTCCTTTCAACGCAGGAATGTTATACTTGGATCATTTCCCCCTCAACTTTATAGCTAAGTTCCTTTTCCTGTATTGTGCCCCATCAAGGTGGGGGAAGCGAGGTCCCCACTCATGCTTGGCTCAGGCGAGCTTCCCCGTGAGCGACACGTTTCCAGCACTGCTCAGGAAGTCTGTAAGAAGGCTGGAGCTGCCTCAGCAACACTCGGGGGGGAAGGACCCAGCTTCCCTGCATTTTGGGACTCCACCATATGGTAATGCTCAGAGGCAGAAACAGTACACAAGGAAGAGCATGGGGAAAAGGCTTGGACGGGGAGGAAAAAAAAAAAAAAGAGAGGAGCTTCGGATCACCAGAAAGCTCTTAATGCCTGGCTTCCAGCAGGGGCGGGGAAGGTATGCAACTGGCCTTGATTTCTCCTCAGTTAGCTTAAGAATCCCACCTTCAAAATTTCCCAGCGCTAGCGGTTTGGGTGCCTCCACTGCCGGCAATGGAGAAGCACAAGAACACCCCAGCTCTGAGTGGGAAGGGTAGTCAGCAGCATCGTCCTTCAAAGTGCAGGGAGAAGGGGAATTTTATCCTTGTTCCCCTCCACCATGCGAGGGGAAATCCCTCCCAATATGTCTCTGCTACATCTTCACCCAGTCTTTGTTGGGGAACGGTTTGCGCTTAATGCTGCTGTAATTCCCGAAGAGGGAATCCAAATCCTGTCTGGGGAAAAACCTTCCTGAAAACAACACAGAAGAGGATCAAGCAATTTGTCTTCCACAGCCAAGGTCTTTCTCCACTGCTGCAGCAAACGAGCGGAACGTGAATGTGAACAGCTGGGGTGAGGAGCGTTGAGAGCAGCTGGGTTGAAATCAGGCGCAGATCCCCGATAACAGAGCAGATAGTCTGCGTTCAATACACGATTTACCTGTGCAGGAGAGACACCAAGGGAAAATGAGTCTCTTCTCCCCCAGCAATGGTCAGCTTACACAAGATTGGCAGGAGACAAAGCATCAGATCCTTAGCTGATGGAGTTAACAGCTTCCCTTAAGGGAGAAGTTGAGAATAGGAATCACTAGATTTTGGGGCACAAAGCTTTGGGCAGTGATCCTGACACCAGCTTCAAGCTCTCAGAAAGGACCAAGTTCACCACTAAAAATCAATGGACTGTAGCTGTGCAAGTCGGAGTGGTGTATGCCAATAGTAAAATTGCTCTCCTCTCAAAAATCACACTGGTCATGGCCTATGTATCATGCTGATCAGTACTATCTCACTGTCACCTGAGATACCCTGTCTGCACCCATCTCATCTCTTGTCTTCAGTAGAGTGGGGACAATTTTTGTCTTGTGTCTGTATAGCACCTTGCACAGTGCAGTTATGCATCGTGAATTAAAAAGTCTACAGCAAGAGTGCTCAAGCCCCAGGCATGGAGCCATTTCATCCACCTGAGGGGCCCCCCACGGGTCTGGAGCATTGGGGGCAGGGGAGCAGTGGCAATTAACACTGCTGCTGCATCCCCGCTACCAAAAATTTCAGGCCCCATGCATTGGGATCAGGCCCATGGGCCAACCTAGCATTGATCATCTTGCCTGCAGGGTAAAAAGGTTGGTCATCACTGTTCTACAGCAATTTAAAAACAGACAACGGTAACCAAATCCCAGCTGGAAGGGGGCAGGGGGAACACAATCTCAACCTGTGCTCTATCAGCACTTTAGACACAACACAAAATCACTGTATGTAGCTTGCGGGAGAGGCAGTGGGAGGCAATGCCTGCTCACAAGAACAGAGGGAAGCTGCCAAGGAAGTGAATGCCTGGCACAGCTAACACGGAGAGGACTGTTGGTCACTGGATGGGAAAACTAACGGGACTGCTTGTTTCCTCCAGGACTCAGAGGGAGCGGTGGGGGTGGGGCAGGAAGGGGAGCAGAGATCAGGCTTCATGGATACAGAAGTCAACTGCTTATGAAAACTGTCGACTGGCACCACCTCAAGGACCTCTGTGCCTGAGGGTAGGGGATGGAATTGAGAAAAAGACTACTGAAATGCTAGCTAGACCTGCCTGGGTGCTTACTGGGCTGCACAACCATCACACTGCTGGTTCACTTTCCCTAGTAGCCTGTGTAATCAAATTAATGATCCCAGATAGAAACTAAATCCAAGCCTTTGCTACTGCCAGTGCATTTCCCTGTGCAAGATCTTTCACACAGCCAAGGGTTGTGTTCAAACCCTGGCAGTCTTTTTGTAGGACAGCTCTCGGAAGATAGCCCAGAGCAAGGAACCGCACACCTGGGTTTTGCTGTACCATAACCTGGCTATTAAGAGCCAAAGGAGGGATTAAGGAGGTCTCTGATGGATCCATAAGAATGAAGCCCTGGCCATAGGACCCTGTGTAGCACAGCCCTCGACCCACAGAGTGCGAAGAGTATCCGTGCGCTGGAAGGAACTTGAATGAATAGCTGCTCACATTTATTAATGTTTTCGATGTCCCCCTGCTCAGTGATGATGTTCAGGAGCCCCTCCATCAGCAGCAGAGCCTTGTGATACCTCTGCGCGCAATCCTCTCTGTGATGAAACATCTCATCCAGGGCTGCAGACTGCACCTGCGGGCAAGAGCCCACCCAAGAGGTTATGCCAAGGAGCAATACTGGCAAAGAAGCCAGACTCCCTTCCATCCCATTCACCTGATTGCATGACCCTTCTCAGCCCTTTCCACACCCAGCGAAGGACACCCAACAGCCAGACATTAAACAGTCCTCCCAAGCACCTCACTGCAAGCCATTAACAAGCCATCCTTAGCTTCAAAGCCATCTCCAGGGGCGGGCAATTATTTTGGGAAGAGGGCCGCTTACTGAGTTTCGGCAAGCCATCGAGGGCCACATGACAGGCAGCCCAGGGCAGATTAATATTAATTTTCTAAATTTTTTAGGGGCCCAGCAGGTCAGATAGAATGTCCTGGCAGGCCACATCTGGCCCCCGGGCTGCATTTTGCCCACCCCTGGTCTAGACCTTACTCCAAAGGGCTGCATGATCTTTACCATCTGCACGGCGTAGCTGAAGATGAGCTTCTCTGCTGTGATGCTGTTGATTCGATCCATGAGCTTCTGTTTATCCAAGAAGAACCTCTGGAGTCTCATGTTCAGGCAATGACAGGAGGACACGCTAGATTTATACAGCTCGTTCAGCTTCCTCACAACTAGGGTGAAAGGAAAACAAATGCCTTGTTTCAACTTCCCGTTCCCCTCCTGCTCTCCATGCACAGGGCCCTGGAAGAGCACCGCAAAGACATTACATTTCCTCTTAAAGCAGAGTCAGCTATTTGGCAACACAGAAGCTGTGAAATGCCTGCATTACCAATACAGGCTTTGGCAACGAGCCATGACAACACCAACACATGGCTCTAGTGCAACCTGGCTCCGGAGCTGGTTTCGTTTCCCCTAGCTACAACAAGGCTTTAAGCCAGGGTTTCACAATTACTTGGGCCCAAGGGCCACATAGGGAGCCTTGATTGGGTGTTGCGAGCCAGGTCAGCACCACCACACACCCTCTCCTCCCAACTACTCACCAAAATTCACTATGGGGCTGTGGGTGGGTGGGAGCAGTGTTCAGCAATGGGATGGGAAAGACTGGGGTCACACGCCCTTGCCCTTTGGGTGTATGCGGGCACATGTGTGCGCATGTAGGGGGCGCTGCCTGTGTGCTAGGTCCCGGGACCCTGCAGTGGGTAAGGGGAGGGAGGGGGTAGGGGGCACATGCAGCAGAGCTGCCCTGAGCAGCACGGTCCATGCTGCCCCCACAGTGCTCCGCGTGGGGCCGAGCCCCACCTGTTCACACCAGAGCAGTCCATGCTGTGCTCCCGCCAGTGCTCACAAGCTGGTTGGGTGCTGCTCTGCACCCCACACCGTCACTTCTGGGATCTGGAACTGGAGCCCCACACCCCTGCTGGGAGTGGCATGGTGCAGCGTGGTAGGAGCGAGAGGAGGAGCTGCTGCTGGAGGCGGAAGGTGCGAAGCATTGCCTGGCTGGCTAAAGCCACCCTTGGAACCGCTCGCTAGAAGCTGTTCCACCTCCAGCACACGGGGCTTTGGCTCCAGATCCTGAGAAGGTGGCCAGAAGCTGAAGCTCCGGTGCTGGGGCAGGAGCCACCCGGCTGAAGCTGCTTGCCTGCCTGCCCAGAACGGTGTGGCAGCGCACCAGGGGCAGAAGCAGCTTCCAAGGGGCTGTTCCCAGTGCAGCTGCAGCTGGGTAGTGCTCTGCACCCTTTGCCCCACCACGCTGAGCTGCTCCTAGGAACCAGGCAGACCTCCAGCTTCGGCTCCCAATCCTGGCTGCTTTCCAGCAGAAGGCAGCTGCAGCCTCAGACTGTGGTAGGAGCTTCCCAGCTGAAACTGCTTGCCCACCACAGTGCAGCGTGGCAGGGGCAAAATCAAAAGCAGGAGCCACAGCTAGTGGCAGGCGGTGCAGAGCAGCACCCAGCCACAGCCACACTGGGTATAGCCCCAGCACAAGCTGAGCACTGGCCAGGGCCTGGGCTGGCAGGCACTGGCGGGGGCCTGGTGCAGGGTGCCCCAGCACAAGCAGGCAGGGATCCAGTCACCTGGATATTTTGCTCATCCCTGCTTCAGGCTGTTCTGTGAGTGGATCCACACCACTTTTCCCAAAGGCACAATTACAGTTATGTGATCAATGCCTATCAAGAACCCATGCAAATTGAGCTTCTAATTGTCCTTTGTGCTCCCCACTTGTTTCCCAACAGCAGTAAAAGAGACGATACCTTTTTATTGGTGACTGAATTGCAGTCACCTTTCATGATGGACAGAAACCGTCAGAATTAAATGGAAAGCCATAATAGGGCAACAAATTAATTACTTCCTGCATTGCCATTAGGTACTTTACTTCCTAGTCCTCTGCTTCTTTCACTTGAAAAACCCCACCATTGCCAACAGAGAACTCAAACTGCTGAGCAAGCCCTGTTAAAAGTACACACAGTGTGCAACCCACAGCATTTATACTTAAGCAGCTGGTACAGAGACGTGCAAAGACTCAGGTAAGGGCAACTGGGAGGATTCACATGGCAGCACCAACTGGAACCCGACATAAACTGAACCTGCAGAGAGAAGTTTCTCTTGATGTGGATGATGACAAGCCTTACAATGGGATTCACCCCTGTGAGTTACTTGTTCTGAGTCAAGATTTGCAGAACTGGATCCTATGCGATTCCAGGATCCCGTCAGTTTTTTCATGCACTGGAAGCCAACACAAATATTTCTGTCCTACATGGTGCCTGCTGCAAAAGGAAATCTGTAAACTGCTGGCTAATAGACATTAACCCTGCACTGCCCAAGCTCTGTTCCTGTCAGGCGTGGAAGGATGTCCCTCCCTGCCACCAAATGCTTAACAGAAATGCTACGCAGCTCATAAGCTCACAGCCTCAGATCTACGGGCTAGAGGGTAACAAACCCTGAACTAATGGAATGAGGGGGTGGCAAAGAAAGCAACCCGCAGGGATTGGATGCGTGTATGCAGAAGGCCACTGGCATTTAATTCTCCTTTGCGCCTTTGGAAGACACTCTCCACTTGTGTCCCAATAGCAGTAAAAGACACATTAGCTTTTTATTGATGGCTGAATTGCAGTCACCTTTCATGATGGACAGAAACACAGGTCAGAATTAAATGGAACACTGTAATAAGGTAACAATACAGACTTGCTGCATCGCCATTAGGTATTTTACTTCCTGGTCTTTTGCTTCTTTCATGTGAAAAAAATAAAACTATAAAATTGCCAGCTGCGCTTGTGGCTACAGGACATGTAAAATGTCCCTGGGGTGGGGGGGAGAGGGCTGTGTGCACATGTAACAGCTGCTCTTCCAGAGCCTTCAACCATGGAAGCAGGTTATATCTTTGCAAGGGCTGCCAACTATCCAGCCAGGTTTATTTGGAGCGCTGGGTGTACAGTGTGGAAGGGTAATGTGGGCAATAGGGATGTGCACACGTGAAGGCCAGATCCCTGCTCACTCAGAACTATTACTGCTGAAGCAACTGGCAACAGGAAGAGTGGCCAGAGGGGCTCTGCAGCCTCACCCAAGCACCTTTCACAGTTTGGGTGCTTGAAAAAACACCAGTGTCAATCTTTGTCCTGGGCCCCCAGCGCTCTTACCTTGCTTAACAGTGGATGAGAGGCACAGCTTGCCTGCCTTGATCTGCTCAATGGCTGTCTGCAGGCCAGAGGACAGCAGTTCTGCTACTTTCAGGTAGAGCACCAGCTGCTCTGCATAGCTATGAACAAAGCACATTGCACAGCAAACAGATCAATGGGCTGGTGTACTTACAGCACGTGTCCCAGAGCACTTTCCAGAACACACACACACAAGCCCCCATGGGGAGCAGGGGGGAAAGGAGGCAGGAAAAATGATCAATCCATAATAGCTATGGTGGCCTTAGCCAAAGGTCAAGGTAGCCAAGAGCTCTCTTCCCGGGCCTCACCTCCACTCCCTGCTGAGAAGGCTGATCTGGTCTGCTACCACGCTCTCCTGCAGCTGGTACTCGGAAGCCACCGAGCTGCTCATCTCGCTGGTGCTGCCTTTGAGCGCAGCGATTTCCATCACATAGTGGACAAAGGCCAGCGTGAAGCGCAGGCTGCGCAGGATGTCTGTGTGCTCTTGCTGCGGAGGGAAACGCCAACACGGATGTTACAAGCAGAGCCTGGTACCGCAGGAGGGCAGGCACGTTGCCAGTGCCTTAAGGGGCTCGTCACTGCAGGGGTCATGACACCGCAGATGCTGAAGCTGTCATTCTAAGAGGGAGCTATTACTCTGTTTGGGAATGAAGTGTAGTCCTGGGCAGGCTTAGATCAAAGCCCAGCTATCACCAGGTCCTCCTGCACATTACAGGAGCAGAGAGACAGCCTCAGGCCAGAAGTTTAAAGCCATTTCCGCAAAAAGCTGGTGAGCCCTGCTAGCAGACATTAACAGGCCTTCACCAGTCTGTGCAACTGCTGGGGAATTCATCAAAGAGGAGGGAAAGGTTCGGTGTGCCATAGGGCCAGCTCTGCTCTCTGCCACTGAGGCAAGGACAAGAGGGCGCGTATGGCATGGTGGTGGGTTTTTAAAGAGGCAGAAATCACTACCCTGAACTCTTACACAGATACAATACACGAACACAGGTTGGTGGTCTCACGCCAGGCCATCAACTCTCAAATTGCACATGCTGGGGTCTTCCCATTTGGGTGGGCATAGTCCCTCAGCCGAGGTCACCCGTTACTCCCAAAGGAGGAGTGATGCCATGAGCAGAGCAGTGAAGGTAAACTTCCACCGAGGCTGCTTGTATGGCTGTTTGGGCTGGCGGGGAGGAAAGGGGAGGGAGCCTTTGACACTGCAGCCCTCAAATTTAAGATCCTGCACAATTCCCTTTGCTGAGGAAGGAGGCTCTCTATGCCATGGGCTCAGACCAAAGGGACATGTTCCCAATTTTTGTTGTTGAAGATTTTACTAAATAAAAAGGTGATTTTAATTTGCTCTTCTTATTTACAGGTGGAACAAAAACACAGACTAGCCTGAAGACTGGCTATACACAGGACCTGTAGAAACCTCTTGATTTTTCTTTTTTCTTTTAAAACAGGTTATAACTTATTAGAACTTCCTGTGAAAGCCCGTTTTGAATATTCTCAACCGAGTTATATAAAAACAGCAAAAAGGTGCCCTGTGTTTTATTCTGTGGGTCAGTTCTTCTCTCAAAGCCAGAGGTTAAAACCCTTTATTGTACGGATTTGGGGCAGGCCTCACAGGAAAAAAAACAAACAAAACAAAACAAACAACAACAACCCACACATCCCACAAGCTTGGTAACCAGGTGTAATCCTGGGCAATAGAAGGATTGGTTTAATGCTCACTCAGGGCATCTGTACACACGCTCCGGGGTGGAGCGCTTTAATTAGTGGCTCTGAGAGCCACTCTAATTTAAGCTCCTGCTGTGTCATGTGTATTCAGTGTCATGCACTTCAAAACGGTAGTGGGGGCGATCGTTCTATGAGCTTTAGTTAAAATGCCCCACTGCCATTTTGAACTGCGAGGATACTGAATACACGTAACGCAGAAGCTGCTGCAGTGTGCCGATTAGCATGCTCCAGCAGACTTGATTAATCGAGTCTGCTCCAACGTGCTAATTAGCACGTGTCGGAGCACAGCTCTCTATCACGTATATAAACGCCCTTATGTTCTCATGCGACTTCCATTGCTATACCTTCAACACCCTGGAAGGCAGGGAAGTGCTATTATCCTAATTCTGTAAAAGTGGGAGCCAAGATGGTGAGATTAAGCGCCTTGTCCCAGGTCACGTACACAGCCTGTGGTGGAGCACGGAACCTGGAGCCTCCTGACTTCTAAGCTAGCACCTTCCCTACCAGATGGGTCCTTCCTCATAGAGAGGAAGTTTTTTGTTTTTTATATACTGTAGTTTCCAGTCCAGCTATCAGTCATCATTCAGCCTTTCCTACTGTGGGCACTAATACATCTGGGTATTTTCTTTTAAACCACTGCACTGTGTCAACTTCCTAGAAGTACGACTTTATTTTGTTTGTACCGGCTGGAACTTTTTCAAAGAAAACCTTTTATGTACATTTTACAACATGGCTAAGGATCATGAACGAGCTTTAAAAATGCCAACATTTCAACACTCTCAAAACGCCCCCAGCAGCAGGTGCTTGTGTGGAAAGTTTGCCAGGTTTGCATTCTGGACAGATCCGCAAGGCACACAAGGGGCTACAAATACGCCAAAAAGGTTTGGTGCCAGGAAGGGTTTGCGACATGCAAATGGATCATGAAAGCCTGCACTCAGCAGAAATGATGTCTGAACTGAAATGACTCACTGCAGACATCTGAAGCCAAACTGCACAGCATTAACAAGATGAAGCTGACATTTCCGTAGGCAGGCTCCTCGCAGACCCTCAGGAGGAGAAGCGGTTGCATTGTTCTAGGGCTCTTTTTTCAAGGCGGTTCGATGTTTGGTTAACTCCCATCCAAAATGGGGCACAGACGTTCTTAGTCTCAGCCCCACGGCCTGGCAAGAAAGCTAAGCCAGTGCATGCAAATCAGTGCACACCCAACAGACCAAATTTGATGTTTGATTTTGATTCCTTTTTAAATTCAAACCTTAAACCTCAACCCAATGCACATAGGTCTCCACAGGTGGCTAGAAGGGTCTTTGATGTTGGGATCACAAGTTAGCCGCCTTAGACACATGACTGCAAGATCTTCAATGGATACGAGACTGTCTTAGGTCCCTCCTGCAGCTCTATCGGAAGTGGAGAGCCCGACGCACAGATCAAATGTGTTTTGGCCATGGCAGTATGTGTTATGCCTTCAGATCAGCTTGTGGTGGTGGGTGGGGAAAAAGGTGGGGACTTTTCCGCTCTACAAAACTGATTCAATAGCTCCCTTTCAGGTCAGAATCACTCCCTCATCAGCAGGACTTAAATTTCCTGTTAGGGGTCAAGTGCATTTCCTGTTAGGTGCTTTTTCGCCAGACTTTGTGTTGCTGACCCAGTCCCCAGTGCACGCAGAAGGCAGTAATGAGACATGCTCAGCAGCTTGCTGGATGGAGTTGGGCTAGACATCAGTGACAGATTAACAAGTTTCCACACAAACAGCCAATTTTCAGTCGAAACGTAACGTGCAAATTTTGAGGGCCATTTCCAGCCTCTGATATCACTGCCTTGGCAACAGTAAAATTAGACTCTCAGTCATAACAATAACCAGTCTCAAGGCCTAAAAGGCCGCACTCTTCTCTCTTTCAGACCACTCCAACAAGACTCATTTTTGGCTTATTGTACTTCACGGGCCACAGGGTGTAAACTAGTTTTCCTGAAACTCAGTTAATGCATGCTCAGCACCTGACACCATAAGCTGCAAGCATCCAGGGCTTAAGCTTTTAGACTTGCTTTTGAAGGGCTTCCCCCCACCCCCAGTACGTCCCCAGGATGACCCCACCTCCATGAGCGTCTCCTCGGGCAGCTCCGGGGCCTCGAATGTAACCGCCCCTTCCAGGTTAGCCGTGATGGGATCAGCAAAAGTGTACCGCAGACTAGACGGTGCTTCCAAAGCTTCCCCACCAGCTCCCATGATCACGTGTCTACCGCTGCATGAGCCTCCAGAGCTGAGAGAGCTGGAAGAGCCCACTGCAAAGGAAAGCAGAGATAGAAATGACTTGGATATTGCCATCGAGCCAGAACTGGAGTCAAGCCACTGCTTGAACCGAGGCTGTCAACCATAGGGTCCACAGGCTGGATCTGGCCCAGGGCGCCAAATCAACGTGACACCCTGGGCTTAGGCCACAGCCGCAGACGGTCCCTTCCACCACAGAGACCCCAAAGTAGCAAGTGTGTTGGGCTTCCACAAAAACACGCAAACAAAGAACGTAAGCCCCACACACAACGGTCATGGTCATGAGTCCCTTATTTGCCATCTGTGGCACTAGACTGTCCTTGTTGAAGCTCTGTTCACAGGAGTGGAATCATGCTCCCCACCTCTTTGATGAGGGCATTGCCATACCAGGGCCCATCTCATTAGTACCCACTCTCTGACCCTGGCTTGCTCAAGGTGGTTCAGAGGAAGGTGCAAGAACTCCCCAGTTGAAGATGTGGGACAACCTGGCTCCCCGTCAAGTTAGATTTCATCCTGGTCTCCATGAGCTAGGCTCTGAAGCAGGTGGATTAACATCCCTTCCAAAACATTTGTCACTACTGATGACAACTTCTTGGGACATTGTGTCCAGATAAAAGTCCAAGCCCATTTGGCATTTTGCTAAAAATTCTTGGCCTCAAACTAAAGCCAACACTATCATACTATTATATCAGCTTCCCCATCATTCATCTGTCAAGCAGGATTTAATTCCCAAGCCTTCAGCACAGGTTACTAACTTGAACTACAGTAGTTATCACCTGTTGCACAAAAGAGATTGCCCAGATTTGGTACTGGCAACCTCTTGTACACAAGGCAGATTTTCCTGCCAGGGCACCATGCTGCTGCCATTATCTCCAACCTGCAGATGGGGAACAGGGCTACAGATAAGATTAAGTGACCTGCCCAAGGTCATCTACTGAAGCTGGGCCAGGAACTAAACCCAGTGACCCCATCCCATATGACCCATCCTTTTCCCTTTACCCACAATCCTTTCAGCCAAACATTCAAGCCCAAACAGTGTTCCCCCCGCCCCCCATCAAGTTTACTCTAAAGGCTTCACGTTAATAAAAGGAGCACCCATATGTATGAATTCATAATGAGAGAATTGACCCTGCAATATATCTTGCACTAAACCTGGCTGTAATACCGAATGTCACTGAATTTTTGGATAATAAAGGCACATCGTTTCCTCTCTGGATTTGCTACTCTGTCTTCAGAAGACTCAGGACTTGTAACTCACAGCTGAGTAACTAATGTAAAATATACTCAGTTTCTTTTCCTCTAAAGCTTCCCTGGTTGAGTGCTACGCTTCAAAGACTGAAAGGATCAAAAGGAGTATTGCTAGTTCTTTGAGGGGGGGAGGAAAGAAGTGGGCAAGCTCTAAGAATCTCATGTTTCACATATTTTTGTAATTGCAAGACACTTTTCAGAAGCTTTAATGCAGGAGTGTTGAACATCTGACCCCACAGGCTGAAGAAGGGGTGTGGGACCGGTGTGCACGTCAAGTCAGGCCTGTGGAGCCATTTCCCACCATGCCAGACATAGCATATGTTGCATCAGTCCTGGACCAGTGAGAACAGTGCTGTCCACAGCGCCCTGCGGGGTTGGTCTGGGACATGCACTACATGCGACACCTGCTTCAGCCAGTCCAGGACCTGTGCTGTGCACAGCACCTGCCTCAGCTGGCCAGGTAGGGTGCTGTGTGCAGTGTGGGTGCCATGTGTGGCACGGTGCATTGTGCAGTCCCAGGTCAGCCCGAGTGGGCACTGTGCATTCATGAAACGGGCACCACGTGCAGCAGTCATGAAATGGATGCTGTGTGCAGCACATGTCCTGGGCCAGTCGGTGCAGGCAGCATCTGTGGTCTGGCGCGCGGGTCAACTCTGAGACCCAGGGGTAGCACCGGGGGCTGGAGAACGGGACTGCAGGCCACATTTTTGACATCCCTTCTTTAATGGGATGCAGGCAAGCACTCTGGTGTGGCTGTTAATGAGGTGTGAGGTGGTTATACAGAAGACTCCTCAAACATTTAGATTGTATAGCTTAAGCTGGCATCTTGTTACCTCTGAGCCTCCTTCCTCCTTTTGGTCGACATACAAAGAAGGCCCACGCACCCTCTTTGTATGTCAACCAGAAGACATGATGGGTTTAGCAAACCTAATAGCAATAACCAGCAGCTCTAGAAGCTCCATCCTTACCTATAATAATACTCATAATACTCATATTGCAGCCTGCACTGAAGGGGCTTGGGGATGGCTTAGCATCCTCTCCAGAGGATGCTGAATAGGGAGAGTCTATTTACAATCTAAAGCATGCTGTCAGCACGAAGCTCTGCAGAGATCAGACTTTACATTCTCTGGTCTTTGTAATCAATTTTCATGTAAGCTGAGAGATGTTTTTTTTATTTGTGCCAACCCCCGCCCCAGCCCAAAACTGGAGGGGGACTAGAGGGAGGGAGAGGTGGTCTCCACAATCAATTATGAAAATGAGTTCTTAATTAAACCTAATGTCTTGACTGAGTAAAATGGACTTAATTGATAACAGCAACAACTGCTCCAGTTTAATATTAAGTATATATTCATTTCTTTCTAAAAAGGATAGTATCAAACAGTAGTAGAAATAAGGAATTACACCACTACATTTGTTTGGACAGAAGGGTACTAGACAGGTAGTGTTTTGTGGAAAAAAAGTAGAGGGGATTTCACTGATTTGAGTATAGCAAGTCACCCTATTAGCATTTGGGACACAGGACTGGATGGGTTCTCCTAGATAATCTAGTCCAGTCACTAATCTATCAGCAATCTATGCACCTATGAAAGGCTGAAGGGCTATTCCTTAAAGAGGGACAGAAATAAAAAAGGGGGAAAAAAA